GTCACAAACCCATTATGTTGGTTTTGTCGTGACGCGGCTCATATGTTTATTTTAACATTGATACGAAGCTTAGATCAGGAGCCTGTTGTCGGTGTAAGAATTTTAAACGGCTCTGTTTGTATTGTTTTAGCATTAATAGTAATTAGCAAGATCGAGTTTACTCGCAGTTCAGGACAGACAACTCTTGGTTTTCATTCGATATTTTTGGTTATTTATCCAGGATTACCCAGATTTTAAATTGTATATACATGAACTGAGTTTTCGACATTTACAATGTATTTTTTATTGGACAAATTAAAATTTAAATATTTTTTTCTTATTATAATTTTAACTCTTTGTTTAGTTTTTAAGATAAACATTACGCATAAGGTGATATCGCATGGGTCAGTCACAAACACGCGCCTGTTTGAGGAAATAGTTATTTAATATTTCATTATACATGAATTTAAACGCTTGAAAAACTATATTGAGCTTCTGTACATCACACATTTTTCGACATTCCATATTTTGACTTATATTTCACATAAAGCAATATGGTAACACTCGCACGCACGCACGAACACACAAAATACATAACTACACATGCACATAAAAGTGAACATGTTCCTACAGTATTAACAATTTCGCACATGTGATCACTTATGAAATATTTTCAATGTTCTCTTTATCATTTTATGCTGAAGTTATATTATGATTTTTCAGGACAGTTAAATCTTCTAGAAATGCAGCTGTGCCATCTTTACAGCAATTGTAGATGAAGCAAAGTATGGTAGCAAGTTATATAGATGTAAGTTCACGTATATATATTGTTGTGTTTTGTGAATGAAATAAGACAATTACACTGTAAAGAAGAGTTACCCAGACTCATATCTATTCCACTCTGTACTGACATCATGTGCTTTATTCTTTCTCAAGGCAAAGTCAAATTTCCTTAATTACACGCATTTATTTTGACAAGAATAAATGTGGTTAGTTATACATACACTGGTTCTCTTTTATATCTTGTTAGAATCAATTCTTTGGCGGAATGATGTCACACTTCATAAAATGATGTCAATTAAGGCATATATGATATAAGCATTTTGCCGCGCATTTGAAAATGCTAAACCATACTTGCTTGTAATATGCAAAAATCAAATAAAATTATATAAAATATAAGAATTAACTCGAACACACAAAATGGTTTGATATAGATGCAATGTGCATGCGACTCTATTTTATTAAATTAGTTTTCTTTTCTTAAACATATTACTGAATCAAAAAATATGTATTTCTTTACAGTTTAATCACTTTTATATATGTTAATGATAGTAATTTGTTTAGTTACTACGTGCGTAAAGCGATAAGTACGCCGCTTTGATAATGTGAGAGTGACGTTACATTTTCTTTTGTACATGTACACTAAAGTTAACAACATTTGTCTGAATAGGTAAAACAGGGTTTTCAAAGCGAATATAATGTCAGATAAGAAACAGAATTTGAAATGTCTTGATGTAAAAGTTAGAATGTCATACACATTAAATTTTATCACAAGTTCGAGCCTCACAAGTTGTCTTACTTTTTTGCGTTTTTCTTTCCATATATATATTTTTTTTAATTTTACATTAGAAAAATGAATTGGGATAGAAAGGCAGTTTTGTTATGATATTTAATAATTTAGATATACATGCACGGATGATAGTGATTTTTATCCTGTATAGTGTGTAGTATGTAGTAGTCATAGTACTTTTGCAGTGCAATATAGTATTTCGTGCAAACTTAACTATAGTTGAAACAGTCTGTGTACAGTATAATGCATTCCGTATAAGTTTGCACCAACTTGCTAAATAGGGCTAAATATAGCTACATTTAAAACAAAATGAGAAGTTAATAGAAAATATCACAGCATTTGTAATCTTTACAATAAATGATACATAACTTTCCTACCTGATTGATAATTTTAAAGCAATATTTTTGGGAAAAAGGTGCAATCCGAGCCTAGCTGTCTTGCATTGATATTTACCACAACCTTACCTACTGCATTACGCTGAGAGTTGGTAAATTTGTTGATAATTTAATTTATATAGCTAGCCTGTTTGAAGATAATAAACACAATATGATAGCTGTTTTACACCTGGATAGTGGACTTGACCACCCTGTCACTTAATTATCATACTAAACGCACAGTACTTGTGCGCACGTGAAACATATTGCGTTGATACGTAAATGTTTCATGTGCGCACGTAATAGTCGCATTCGCATGTATTAACAAAAATATTTCCTATGTTATTTTATGCAATTGTCACATATGATACGTATATTTTATTATCTGAATTTGATTTCATACTATCAGATTAATGCTATAGGCAAGGATATTTTGATTTATATTTCGTGAGAATTATCACTTTATTTTTAGAGATGACACACTGTAAGAGATTCTATTGTCAACTTAGTTAAACAGTCTTGACAATAAAAAAATAATAATCTACACTATTGTATATTGAAGGTATTCATTCGTTGCTGAGATAGTTTTTGAAACAATTGAAATTGAAACAAATAATAATCCAAATTTGTTAAGATTAACGTTTTAATATAATTGAGAAGTATAGCTGGGTATTCCGCTTTTTACTTAACTGGATATCATTGTGCAAACACGGATCTACATCTGAGTAAAAATATCTGTACTTTTTAAGCCTTTTTTCAAACGAATTTACTCCTACTAACGATGCTAATATACATCGTAAAACGATCAAAAAGATTATGTCAGCACTTTTTCCAAATACAATGTTATTTTGTATTAATATATTTTTAATCAATAAAACACTCTTTACATAGAACAAAGATACCATTATCATTTATATTACAGGTGTGAAATAAATATATTCGTAAAGGTTTTATAACAAAAACATATAACTTATCATCCGTCATAGATTAATCATTTCATTTAATTCCTGTGTAAATGATTGCTTATAAATGACATCTTTATCCTAATAATATAAAATAATTTTGAAATTTGCGTTAGAAAAAAATGTATAAATGTATACGTTTAAAAAATGCTTGTGTATAGCCTTTTTGAAAGTTGTGATAACTATTTCCTGACACTATTTAAACATGATTTTAAACTCTCTTTTTCAGATACACACATGCCGAAGAAGATTGTAATATCTGGAGATAACATTTCCTACGTCACGAAATAGACAACGTCACACTGGTCTACGTAACATTCCTATTGATGATTGATATATTTAAGTGCTTTTAAGAACTGTGTTTGAATGACGAATTTCTGTGAATACGGATTTTTGATTTTAATGATTATTATTTAAACTTTCTGTAATAATCAATTTGTGCTATGAACTCATTTTCCTAAAATAATATGTAAATGTTAACACGAACAAATGATATGAATATCTTCAAAATATTTTATGGGTGTAATACAAGTGGCTCATAAAAATCATTGTTAAGATAAATAGAATCGAACTTCAAGTTGGTATAGTTTGTTCTAGATTTAAACAACATGCAATTCATACGGCTTGAAAATGTCGAAACATGTATGAAAATATCGAAACATGTACATGTATAACTCAATCTCTAAAGACAATATCGCAGTGCGGATTTTCTCCACTGTGATACGTATTTCATGACTCTGTATCGCATCATACCGGTATATAGCCGTTCCGTTGCAACGCTACATGAATTTGTGCCTCCGGAATAAGGCTTGCAACAATATATGACTGTTGTAGCGAAGACATGTTTATTTTGTTTAATATATGTATACATATTGAATATATGTTTATGAAATAATAAATATTTAAGAGTGACTCGATTTGGTTTTTACTTTATTATTTGAAATACTCCATTTGTGAAGATAAAGTTCTTAAGCATATGACTTTACAGTTCCCATTCAAAATGTGTAATAAAACATGTTCTGTTGTACAAGTCTGCATTTCGGTCCTGTATACGTGTCACTTATATGTAAATGCATGCTTTTGATATTATCTGTATCTTCTTTTATCAAGAAAATACAGTTCCAACTTCTGTATTCCCTGTGGACAACTAAAAAATGCAATTCCGTATATCCCCTGTATATATTGAAAATACGATTCCGTATATCCCCTGTATATGTAGAAAATACGATTCCGTATTTCTTCTGTATATGTAGAAAATACGATTCCGTATATCATCTGTATATGTGGAAAATACGAGTCCGTATATCCTCTGTATATGTAGAATATACGGTTCCGTATATCCTCTGTATACGAAGAAAATACGAGTCCGTATATCCTCTGTATATGTAGAAAATACGGCCCCGTATATCCTTGGTATATTTATAGTATACTAGGGATAGCAACCTTAATATAGTCCGTATACGGGATTTTATTCTCCGTATACTTCAAAAGTACGAACAAATATACGTACATGTATATGGGGCAAATACGGAATTCCGTATATGCCTGATGCATATACGGACTTCCCGTATACCCGGTGTTCCCTATACGGACTCGTATACTTGGTCCGTATATTCGACGAATACATCCCGTACACGCCCGTATATGTCAAAAATACGGGACCGTATATTCCCGTATATCAGTATATTTTTCGCAGTGTAAGGACCAATTTATAAGACCATTCACGGACCCTGGTATGCGCATTAGTTACTTTTGTCAAATTCTAATTTAAAGTTGCTTTTTAAACCTTTAGAAAAAAACCCTATTTATATTAGAAAATAAGATCCATAATATTTTTTATAATCTGCACTTTAATTATGCTTTAAGTACAATTCCTGTAAACAGCATATTATTGCGAAAGTACCTCTGTTGAATGTGTGAAGCTTTTCGAAACAGCAATGTAATAAAACGTGTAGATATAAAAATTTTACAAAACACAAACCATTTAGAGTGGCGGCATGCACAAGTGGTTACACGTCGGACTAGTAATCTAAGGATTGCTGGTCGCCAGGGTTCTAACCCTGTCATGGGCAAGCTTTTGTTTCAGTGAAACTTAACACTTATTAGAACTGGTTGCTTCAAGGAAACAAAACCGAGAGTGTTTCAATAAGCTTAGAGCTTCCCACTCAATAAAACTAAAATACAATAAGTATAAACTAAGCATAACATCGACTTTAACATATGTTGTAATATTGGATGCATTCACATGGATGAATTACTGACAAACATTGACAGAGTACTTTCGTTTACACATCGTTTTAAATTAAAAACGATGCTAAATTGTTTAAGGCAAATTAAATCTAGCAATATGACATGATATACGAGCAATTAAAATTAATATCATAAGCAAACAACTTCAAAATAAATGTTTTAAAAGACTTTTATAAATGTTTATAATACAAGTGCATTGAAAAAAAAAATTAAAAAATGTTTAAATCTTTGTATCTTTACATTTTTTTATTGGGTGAAATAACAATTGTTTGGCAATGAAAGAAAGAAAAAGAAGAAAAACGGGTAAAAAAACTGTAACACAGTTTCGATTCGGTGCATAAATATTCGGATACAATAAAACTTTCACAAATGAATATAAATCAACATTGACTGATTCAGTGGATTTCAATTAGAGATATATAAGTGTACAATCATACCGCCTTGTTTATGAAAAAAATCATTATGATGTCTTTCCTTTTACGAAGAGACAACATGACTAACATTATTTTCATCATTTTGAGAACAACATTTAAAAAGCACATTACATCATATACTCAGCCTGATAACATTATTTTGTAACAAACATTTTTGAAGTGGTCCTTATACTGATAAACCGTCTGTGTAATCACTTGAGTTTTACTTTGATTCTTTATTTAACTGAAGGTTGTAGTCAATAATTCCATTTTATGTCACTAATTCTGTTTTACAGCTTTCTACAGAGAATTTTAATACCCTCATTAACAGTTTTAATTTAATCTAATATGCGGCCAAAATTGTTACAGGTACTGATTTATAATTGTTGTATAAGATAGGGTTTTTTTTTATCTCCAATCTAGTAATTTTAATTAAATACAAGGATCAAATAAGTGAATTTTCTTTTTTTAATTCTTCAAATTATCAAACACTTTACTGCATTAACATAACAAAGTTCAACAAATATGTTTTCCAGATGTTTGTTCAAACAAAACGTCTAGTCTCTTACATCAAATTGCTGTCTACAAAATATTTACAGCATTTCAGCTTGTTGAAAACTGAGTGAAAAATAGTAAAAAAAAACAATGACACTCTCCAAAGAGGACTTATCATTTCAAACAATCATTCTGATATACAGTGCTATATTATATTGAGAGATCAAATATAAAATTACATAAACTGGTCATTTTAAGTATGTAATTTACTTCGAATTTTCATACGTAACCTTGTTTTAACTTACATAATTTCTTTCCAGTGAAACAATTGAACAATTATTTAAAGTAAAAATCGAGAATGACTTCTAATTAAAAATCTAATTACTTTCTGATAATATCAAATACACTGGAGGCTTTCTGTTGATTTTAAATGGTATTTTAGTGTTTAGCTTTCCCCTTTATTTTATTAGCAAGCATAGAGTGATTTCCTGATAAAAAAGGTCCTTTCAAATTACTTTTCATGGCATGTTTTAATACTACCACACACCTTCGAACAGATGAGCACAATTGCCAATACTGTCGTCGTTTTCCCTGACTTTGGCCGTAAACACACATCCATCTTGAAAAGAAAGGCTATCTCGACTATTTCCAGAGAAACCACTTACACATATTATCATTATTATAATTATTATTATTGTCATTATTATTATTATTATTATTATTATTATTATCCTTTTTCAAAACCTATTCTTGGTAGAATTTTAAAAGACAAATACAAACTTACACTAATGTTTAAATGCATACATTTAAGCATATAGAATGGTTGAAAATTTAAGGCTTAATTTGTCATGTCTGTTATGTATATAATGAATATCATAAGAACTATCGTAAAATTAATTTTAGTTATTCACTTTATTCCAGAATGATTGACTGAATGATTATTTTTGAAATTGAAACTGTTAATAGATGTTCATTATTTTCAGCTCAACCAATGTATCAGCTGAACTATATCAGTCTGTGGAAATGAAACAATTATAGTCAGTACAACTAAACAATTTTGCTTCACTTTAAATAATTAACATTATAAATAGTCGAACTAATAGTCGTATCTAACCATATCATTTCTTTTGTTAAATAATGTTTAGCTGCTTTTTGTGTGTTTTTTTCTTTCTTTCCAGTATTGTTTCTTAATAATCATGTTAAATCTAAGTAAAATATAGTATTGTCCGTTGTTTTGCTTTACGGAAAATTTCTTTTCACTTTCATCACTACACTGCGGATAGAATAATAATGACCCCAACACGAGTGCCAGTTTATACCATCAGCATACGTAGAGTGATTCCCCGATAAGTACAGTCCATTCAAATTGCTAGCATGACAACCTTTATACCACCATCCTCCTTTGAACTTTTGAGCGCAGTTGTATTTTGCTTCGTCGTTATCCCTGTCTTTAGTAGTAAACATTTTTCCATCATGGTATATAAGACTATCACCACAATTCCCGGAGAAACCACTAACATGCAATGTAAAATTTGAATCTTCGTCGTCAACTCTGAACGTGTGATACTGGGCATCAGCATGTGTAGATGATACGTCTTCAAATGCTTCCATTTCAATTTTCAAAGAACTGTCTATAGTAGTAAGCCAATATATATTCTCAAGGCCAAGCCAGTACTCTCCTGATCTGTTACCGAATCCACAAACATAATCTGTCCATGTTCTGTAGAAGTTTTCTGACCCATCCAGTCGACGTTGTATAACTGTCCATCCACCATTTGTCATATCGCACCATGCCTGTATGCTTAACCCACCGACAGGTATTATTGTATACATACCGTCGTCTTTGCATCCTTTTTCAAAAAGTGCAAGGCAATCCTTTTGTTCTGTAAATCAAACAAGCAAACTGATTTAAGAAAATAAATGAATAACAATAACTAGCCCAAAAGACCTTACCGATATCACTATCAACTTGAAAAGAATAAGTATTACATTTCGCATTAAAGTATATATTATTCAAGATGTTTCGATTACAAACAGAGAAATAAACCCACACTTTTTTTAACTTCCCATATTCTAATTGGACTTCTGTGTAGTATTTGCATAGATTACAATGTCTTTTGACAGGTTAAATAAGGTCACGTGGTACATATTTTCAGAAATCAATATTGCTGTTATTGTTAATCGATTCGTTGGCTAATTTTCCTAATTTAATGTGAATGATCATCCCCAAAGTGGCTACAAGCATCTGTGTTTTTATGCAACTGTTTCCAACCTTAAGCGTTCAAAACTTCCGCGCGTTTAATAGTTAAAATGTAAACACCTTGTTTGCATCTTCAAAGGTTGAGCATAGAAGGCAAAAAAAAAGCAAATAATTGTCTGAAGATAACATTTACTGAAACAAAACAGGCACATAAACAGTTAAGACATGCAACAAAGGTGTTTAAAAGAATTTCATCAGTGCACTTAATGTCCAAACATCTACAAAAAAACTTTAGAAGTGGTAAGATAGCTACACATCCATGTCAATGTACTGAACAAACTGGGGAAAACATTTGATAGGATCAGATTAAATCTACATCATTGCCCGTATACATTTGTTCAAGTTTGACTTCTCAACGAAACTTTTTTCATGACTAGTAGATATCTAAACGTACTCAAGGTAAAAAGTACATCAAAAGCCAGATTGAAATAAAGGGATGTGTTGATGCTATTTCATTTATATAACTGTAAAAGTTAAATTAAAATTTCATATCATTAATGTATGTGTTTGGGATAACAAAAACGGCATATATTATCTTGTTACATTGATAATTGTTTCATTCTTTGTTTTCCTTTTTCTCTCTGGATAATTTTTACCCTTCCCGTTATTAATAAATAAATATACGGTAGAACTTCTATGAGTCGATTTTCTCGATGTGCCAAATAAAATGAAAGTCCCGATTTTTCCACCTATATAATTTTTATAAAAATCTATACATGAGTCAAATAAACTAATATACAATGTATACATAAATCAATTAAAAATATGATATAATAAAAACAACAAAAATATTTGCCACCTCCCTTTGAAATTAAAAGAAATAATTAACTAAACATACCAGTAACAGGACGGTATGCAAGCATTGACCCAGGCTCCTGTTTATACGAAATCGTTCCCGTAACAAAATACGTATCACACAGACGAAATCGTCTTCTATAGACCATAACATTTATGTGAGTTTTGTTATTTCGGAAATGATTCAAACACTCTGTATAACTCAAATCTGATATAGATGATAAGCACGATTTTGTCTCCAGTCCATGATTATAGATAATTTTTTCATCTTGAGCATCTATCAACAAATTTGTGAACAAATGAAACATATAATAACATATAATCCTACGAGCATGCATTCTGTTCAGCATTTTAAACAGGATTTGCCTTCAGTCACTTACATTTAGTCTCTTTTGCTAATGGCATTACATGATTCATGCTTAAATACTAAATGCTGAGACATAAAACGTAAAGCATTTGTAATCAAGCCGGAATGCAACTTCTACTGCGTATTTATTATCAAATGACAAAACAAATAAAAACCATATTAAAATTGCGATGTTTATTCGTCTGTGTGTAATATGAACGGAACACACTTTTCGTCACAATGACTTAATTGTCTGTTATTTGGAAGCAACCTATATATAATGCATGACTCTTTCAAATGTATGGAATATTAAATAATTTGTAATCAATGGATACATTTAAGTTAAGCATACTAAATTTTTGTTTGTGCACACACACACAAACACGCGCGCGCGCACGCACGCACGCTTTGTGCTATCCATTTCCAATCATGTAACTTTGTTTTGTAATTGCCTGAACAGAAGATAATCCGTTGAACGTATTATTTTGCGTGTGCTATGCTTGTTTTCTGATTATGATCAATAGGGAAACATTTTTCATTTGATGATATCATATTTGTTGCTTTAATTCTTGAAAAGAGCCCTTCTAATAACAAACCTTTAATTGTTTCATACAAAACGTTCTTTTCTCGTTAACCGTAAGATAAATTAATTTTTATCCATACAGGTGTCCTTTAAGGCATACAACTGACCTATGTTGCAATCAACGGTAATATTTTATCAAGTCATTGGACTTATATAAGAAAAAACGAGACTTTTGCAAAAAAAAATGTTTTCGTTTGGTCAAATATTAATTCCTTCCTCCATCAGTACGCAGAAAATATTAAAAATCACCTCACATTTTATTATAAACAAAAATGAAACGAATTGTAATTATAGTTATCAATGCCATAAACATATTAAATGGTTGAAAAACAATGTATGGTAATTTACAAACCCGAGATAAAAAAAATCTGATTGCAAATGACAACTTCTAAATGCGGATTGCCAATATCGGAACATGCTTTGTAAAGCTACTTGTCTACTATTTAAAACTGTAGGTGTTTAAACTAATGCATATCATTATACAATTCAACAATATTTTAAAGAAAGCTGCTTACGATTTTAATAAAATTAAAAAAATGACAAACTGTTCAATTGTTACGAAATGACACAATGTTAAAATATGTATGATCTAGATTGAAGGTGGTTTTCGTTAAAAGCCTTTTATGTAAATTTAGTTGCTGACTTTTTAAAGACTTGGAAATTGAATTACATTCTATAAATAGACATTGGAACTTTTTTCTCCTGTTATACAGGAATTTGAACATGTGTATGTTTCAGGAAGATCCTCAAGATTATAAACTTATTTTGGAATGACCAATGAGATTCCCTGATCTCAGTTTGTAATTGTTTAATGATCAATGCAAATTTTACATGTATTCAGTTCTGCTCTGTAAATTGTACATGAAGTCAAGCTTTTTGATCGGAAAAACAAAAACTATGTCTGAAATGCTTGACTCTGTTAATGTACCATTTCGATCTACTCACACCATTGGTTATATTTAGCTATACTATCATTTGAACCGTACGGATGGCAACGTATTTAACACCGATACCACATATTGGTCACCTGTTCTCCACCTATTTACTGCAGTTAAGAAATTGACGAAAGGTTAGCGAATGTGTAAACTTCTCGATCGGTGAAAATATTTTATTACAAATAACCGATTCACAACCTGTCTACAACCGGTGAAAATATTTTTTTACAAATAACCGATATACAACCTGTCTACAACCGGTAACATCGATGGACCGTTAACACAGAAAACCAGACAGAAAATGACGCCTGGCAGCCGATCAAAACAGCGTTTGATTTATATTTTAATTTATAAAATAATTTATGAGTGTGTATTATGTATAAAATTGTTTTAAATGAACATATTTCATTCATTACACCACAGAAAGAGAAACACAAACAATAATTAACAAGGCAGATATGTCTGACAAACATTGGGAGAGTTTAACTATATATAATAAAGATTCTATATTATTCAGAGGCTTCTTACTTATGTTTGAATGTAGCAAGTGTACTGGTGTATTTGTTTGATTGCAGATATGTAGTTTTGTGTGGTTATGTACATGTTTTTTATTTATCATCGAGATTGCCCTTAAGGGGCCTCTAAAAGTACTAAGCTGAAAACTAAATTACATTCTGTTTGGTTCTAATTAATTAAACTATGCAAATTTATACGTGAAACATTTATAATAAGACAAAGCATTTGTAAACAACTATACTTTACTAAACATATTGAAGGCTGTTTCCTGTAATCGTTTATATGTTTATCTATTTTATATACTTATTTCCACGTTACAATAAATATTTGATGCTGTGTTGTAACTGTATTGTAAAAATGTCTGTGTTAGATAATTATCATGTTCATGCGCATACATATTTTCGAAATTGAACATCCTCTTGTATATGCTCATTATTCAGTGAGTTCAACCAATCATTTCTATTTGTATTTGTCATGCGTAATATGTATAAATGTTAATTGTGTCATGTGACAAGAAACATAATTGTTTACGTTACTTAATAAAGAATCTCGAATCTTGAATCTTGAATCAAATTGGTTAACATCAAATAAAAGAAAGAATAATTATTCAGATTTACCTCTTTGTTTTCATCAACTTTCTCACCTTACATTATTATTTCAAATGACATATGTTCAGATAAAAATTCTTAGATGTTCCAAAATTGAAGCCATTTTTCTGTTTTCCCCCTTTTCAACTTATTTATTCAGTTTAAGAGTAGCGTTTATCAATCATTTTATACATGTATACGTATATGAATGTGAAATATACAAATGTATATGTATATGTTTCGCCTTCTTTATAATTCAGATTTCCAGAGAAAGCTATTTTTAGCCATGCAATCAAATCGGTTTTCACAGAGGCATTACAAGAAATATCAAAATACCGTTATCCATGAGAGTTAATCAAAATGTTGATTTTTGTTAGGAAAAAAATTGTTTGAAGTAATTTTTAACAAATTTACTTGAAAAAATAGAGTCAGTTTGTAAAGGGCAAAATTATTTTGCCAGTATACCTGTCAGCTTTATGGACAACGCCATGTTTGTTCTCGAAATCTTGAAAATTACCCACTCAGTATTGGTTTTCCCAGAGTTAAAATTAGAAGCCGCACCGCTTCCAAAAATACGAAAGCTCGCCAATGATTTGCAGTGTGAAAGGTCACAAGAAATTACTTTATTTGGTCACGATCAGATCTAAAAGCGGAGCGTTATTAAGAGCTGATTTTAATCAGATATGTGAATTATAATAATAGGTATTCAAATACATTATGTTCATTTGTACATGTTTAACTTGAGCTGAATTGACTATATATTTCAAAAGATTGACTATTATAATTTGACTGACCAACAGTCGATATTGGAAAATTTTAGAATAAATTTGTTAATCTGCCTAACACATACAAACTGCCTCATTCATTTTATGAATTGAACGTAACAGGTAAATAACAAAGGAAATTTATGGAAATCCGTAAGGCCAGAAGAGTTTTTCATCATTCATACTAAGTAAATTATAGAATTAAAATGCGTTATATTAAATGTAAATTCATTTTCATTTTCACCTTTTACGACTTTTATAAGATTTCATCGGCATGATGTCATTTTAAACTAGGATATATTAGGGTAAGTTATGCTCAAATGGAAACAGTGAATCGACAAATTGAATATACATTTATTTGCACTTAAAAATAATGCAAATTAGTTACTAATATGTAAAGCTATTTTCTATATAAATGCTGTAACTGTTTCACCTAATTTGTAAAATTCCCTAATTGTAATAAAGATGTTGTTGACGGCATGTTTTGTAAAACAAACATTATTTGATATTCTTATCATTCGATAAATCCATGGCTGGCTTAAATGATACTAAAATAACCCATGAACAATACCGAGATAATATTTATTCACTCAATATCTAAATGGAGTAACTGAAATAGTTCTTAACAGTAGAATATATTGCACGATTTCCTCGGAGGTGTTCTATCGGCTTCATGTTTTCATTAGCTGCCAATAGGTTAAAATGATATAGAACAAATATTTACCTTCCTTATCGATATTTATCAATTAGTTTAGTTCCTACAAATTTATTTTAGTTCGATTGCGTTGGGAGCTATAACATGTATAAGCTTAATTAACACTCCCGAATCCGGGAAATGATCAATTTAATTTGATACATGAGAACAAATATTTTCGTAGCATGTTATCAATAGAAAGCATCCATGTTAATATATGTATTTATATGTATTCATGAGCTAGTTTCGTGATAAGATAATATATATTGATGTAAAATTCGAATTTGTATATTTGAGCGATAGGATAATAGGACATAAATGAATTGCATATAAAATGCAATTGGTTTGCATATAGAATGCAATTGGCTGGCATATATTAAATGCATTTGGTTTGCAAATTAAATGCAATTGGTTGGAATATAAAATGCAATTGGTTTGCACATAATATACAAATGGTTTGCATATAAAATGAAATTGGTTTGCACATAAAATACAATTGGTTTGCTCATAAAATGCAATTGTTTGTAAACAATTTGACATTAAACATGATTACAATCAAGGATATTAACAATCCGGTGAAGGAAATATTTTATAATAAAACACAAATAAAATTCAAAACTTCACTTAAAAGAGTATGCTATAATATATACACCAAAATGGTAGACGAGGAATAACTTTTTATGGAAATAAAACAAAAACAAAAAACAAATTGAATCAATTCTATATTACCTTAAAACAATAGCCATTTAATGATTAATTGTTTTTATGAATGCTATACTTTGGTAACGATTGGTGCCTTTATTTAAAATGTATTCATACTGTGTTTACCTATACTGTGAAGACTTTAAAACGTAACATACATTATCTGTGTGTACTCAAGAGATGTTTATTTTACATTTAAAAAGAAACTGTCTAAGAATTATCCGTAACAATACATCAAATTAAGATTTGAGCATACCAATATATCTTTAAATGACTCCATTACTATAACTAAAACCGTGATAATCTTACGGAAGGTAAGAAATAATTTATAACAATTGACCTATTTATCATGGAAAAATTATAATTTACCTCGCATAAAATGATATACACTTTCTTTCAAATAAACATATTATAATTTTATTACTATTATTATTATTTGTTGTTGTTGTTGTTGTTGGGGCGAGAGAAGGATTAATCATTGTAATTTAGAAGCAAAAACTTTGGAAAAATGATGTGTAATAAATACCTTTATTTGAGGTTAAAAATGCCCATATTATATGCAGCAATCAATTCTACCATAAAATTCTCTTACATTTTCGACAACCTAATTGCTATAGCAATCATAGTATCGTCACACAATTCATCTAAATTCTTTTCCCAATGGAACCATGACAACAAATGGACTAAATGCGTGAATTGTTATAACGTCAATAACTTATTGAAGAATTCCTTTTTTGTTTTGATAAATGATTCGGCCCAAAGCGGAGTACTTATTAAGTCCTTTATTTCCTACTTGCTTCCACAAGGATTATTGCAAGGCTTTCAATACCATGGCATTTTATTTTTCCACGTTTGTTAAAATGATTAATTTCTGTTTAAAATCAAATTTGATTTGGGTTCTCTTTACAATTACTTACTCATTGTCAGCAGCGAAAGGAAAAGATTACTTGACATCATATTTTGAAATAGAAAAGATATTTCATATTCCTACATATGATGATGATGTATCTTCAACGCGAGAAAGGTCACTGGTGTCATGCATTTGTCAGTGTCAGATACTGGAATCGCCATCGTTTTACTATGTCGAAGAAAATTCAACGTGTTTTTGTTGTTTTGGTTATGCAAAAAACACAAGCAATCAGGTTGCGGTGACCTCTGGAATAATCCATGGAATTAGAACAGACACGATGTCAACAACGTATATTCAAGTAAGACTTTTTATTTCTTTATGGTGTACGTTTTATGTTGACATGTAACTATATAATATTGCGTATCTGTACAGGTTGATGCAAGGTGAAATTATATTAAGAAAAAAATTCTATAACGCTAAAACTTTTGACATAAACAAATAAAGTGCAATTAGACAGTCTTAGGTAATTAGCATTTTACAAGCATAACAAAGCATGACAAAATGTCAAAATGTTCCTAACACACCGTTCAGCGTTAAGGTAATTGAATGAAAGTATTGTTATTTTATACATTTTGTTTGTTTATTTGCCAGTGTTGTGTCATCAATTAGAAAAATGCTTAATGCGGGTGTCAACAACTGAAAGATACATTAACAATCTTCACTAAATTGTTTATTATCCCTTTAGAAAATAAGAATTGTAAAAGTGTACTTATCTGAACTACATTGGTTATTTCGTTCGAAGGCCAATCCGTTTTGAAGGGTTCCGAATTATTTCAGGCACGAGCACTGAGTAGAACCACCGACCGTTGCGACTTTCGTACGCTAGATGGTTTCCCAACGTGAAAAAAAGGGTACCTGTCTGGATTCGAAACCATAGCTGTGAGATTATAAGGGCTCAAAATAATTTATAGAAAAAGTTACGCCTATTCACTTAATGTTTTAGAAATGGTATAATTGTATTTACTTTAAAGGGAGGCAACAAAAATGTAACAAGTCTACACGTTCAAAAAGAGGGAGCTGAATGTCTAGCGCTTTACCAACAAGGCTATACCGATGACGGTGTTTATGAGATCAAACCAACCGGAAGTACTGCTACTGATGTGTGGTGTGATATGACCAATGGTGGATGGACGGTTATACAGCGCCGGCAAGACGGATCTGAAGATTTCTACAGAAATTGGGAGGAATACCAACAAGGATTTGGAAACAGGAGTGGCGAGTATTGGCTTGGACTTGAAAATATTCATCATTTGACAAGTAACGACAGTTCCCTGCACATATACATGGAAACATTCCCAAATGACAATAAGAATCCGTTTTCTGCTTTTGCTGAATATTCCATCTTCAAAGTTAATGACGAGAGTGATAAATACAGATTGTTAGTTGGGGGGATTTCCGGCTCCTGCGGCAATTCCTTGATTTATCATAATAATAATCCATTTTCGACCATGGACAGAGATAATGACGCCTGGGACGATGTTGACTGTGCAGTGGCATTTAGCGGTGCTTGGTGGTATAAGGCATGCCATAAATCGAATCTAAATGGATTATACCTTAATGGAACAGGAGCAGACTTTGGTCGCGGTATAACATGGGACTTGTGTTGGGGTCAAACTTACTCTCTCAAGACAACTGTTATGAAGATCAGAAGAAACTAATTAACAGTTTTATCTATTTCATGAAAGTCAGCTCTTTTACTTTCTTTATTTGTATATTGTATATCTTATTACACATGAGCTGACATTTATCACTATATGTTGGGCAAAAGATCAACCTTGCTATGGATTCAAATAAAACTTAACTCATACAACTACGTGAACAATGCTTTTGTAATGTTGTATTTTTGTAATGTTGTATTATAATCTTATAATGTAATTAATTATTAAAGATTTGAAGACAATAATGAAAGACAATAATATATTAAATCCATGCGCAAGAGCAACAGAATTTCATTTTATAAGCAAATTATTGTATTATAACTCCTAGTAAATGGAAAATACTAAAAATAAAATCGTTATAATGCAATCAAATGTTTAGGATATAACTCAAAGCTTACGTATACATGTTCAAATAAGGTAATTCATAATCGAATATATTTCCATTTTAAAAACTGTCCAATGGCAGGCTTCCCGAGCAAGCCGGGTATGTTCTTTTTTGTACAAATAGATTGAAACAACCTTTGTGTAAAGTTCGCTTAGAGAACCAACATTATAAACCATTGTGACAAATTATCATTTCTGACGAATTAGTTTAAAATAGATAACATTTTGTAATCACGAAAGATGAGATGCAAAAAACAAAAACAAAAATATTTGAATGCAATGTCACATTTTAACACTCCGTGATTTTGTCATATGAACAAAAGAAGAAACGGTATTTAACTGCCAATTAACACGGGTTAGGGACTACATGTATATTCGGCTGTTAATATTTCTCCCTCGATAATATACATGTAGTTAACACATTTTTAAGGCATTTTTCTTGATATTTTCCGTTTTTCCGATGCTTTCTTTTCATATACATTGTAATGCTAAATTAATATCTTTATACACACTACCCCCACATGTTGGATCCATATCAGATACAAATCGGCACCAATTAGTAAGCAGCGTAATGGACGTCATCCTAAGGATACATCGCATTCATAAAGGCGCTAGAATGACGTCATTTTAAACTGACAATAATGATTAATCCAGCACTGATGTATACACAATACAATCCAGTTTGACATGTTAGTGTTAATTGTTGAAAACTCGATTGAATAACTTTTTATTCTTATTATTTCTTTTGATCAATAACTACTTTATCCTAGCAACTGTATGGCACCGGAAGAAATCTCCGCTTGCAAAAATAGCATTAGTGATCTTCTTTACTTTTGTCTCATTAGAGTCGAAATAACATCGGTCTGGAGTGGTGTGTTTCGGCTATTTTACACCGGCTTTGTCGTTTTGATTTGGAAAAATTAACCACGAAGGCCATAGGCATCAAAACTCTTAACAGAGGTGTTAAATAGCCGATAAACACCGCTCAGACCGATATTATTTCTTTAATGCACGTTTTATTCACGCCCGGCAAACTGTCGCTCCACTTCAAAATTGTGGTGTACGGTAAAACGAGCGAACGGCATTTCCAAGATAGAGCGGAAGGCGATTTAAACGGATAATTGTAAGTGTTGCTTATGTTTTTGTCTTGTTATTCATTTGAATTGTATTTTTTCGAAAAAAGGAAAATGTAGTTCCGTGTAGGATTGTTTAAGGGGTTTCAATGATCTAAGCTATTACAAAAACAAAGTTATGTTTAGCCCGGGAGAACTTATCTCCCTGAAGAAGCGAACGATGATTTGTAGAATATTGAACTTCTCAACCATTAAAATGCCATACCCTTCGGATTTATTTAAAAAGTGTATTAGGAAAATATCAACCCGTAATAAGGACTTGTCATTCGTGCAACATAAATTACTCCTGAAGAATTTCTTACATCTGTAAATCGATATGTGTCGAAAGTAGTAGAGCCAAAGGGCAAGAGATGAAGCGAAAGGTTCGGTGTTGAGCGCAAGGCTTAATTTGGCATATTGGGAGGAGCGTGGTCTATGAATTTTTATATATAAAAGCTTTAGAAGTTAAAATAGACATGATCAAGTATTGAGACTGATATATATATATATAATATATATATATATATATATATATATATATATAATATATATATTATATATATATATATATATATATATATATATACCTTTTAAAGACAACTTATAAAGCGTGATATCCTTTCAACGACTATAGCGTAATAAATGTAATCGCGAAGGTGTCACCTATGGTTGCCGTATAGATTCTATTATTTATGTTCCAAATTTGGATATTGCCCAATCATTGAATCATATGGCGTAAAACAGGGTGCCACTTATTCGAGGTCAATCATGATTTTTGACACGGTAATGTACATTTAAAAACGTGTGTCCGTGCAAAATCGAATATTTTCAGTTCTACCGCGAACAAATGTTTTCGAGCAGGTACATGTAACACGATTGTTCCCGCCAAATGTTCAGATCAAACACAAATAAGCCACGTTTCCATGAAATAGAAAGACTTTTGTAAGGTGGGGAATCTCTATGAAAATGGTTGACAAAGTGTCAGTCGTTCTTAGGATATTAAATATGATAAACAAGATTAACAAGGAAAGGCGGCGTTCAATGAACGCCACCCTACGCAACAACAACAGATGGCAAGGAGCCAAGGAGGCCCTCAAACAAAAACAGGACAGGGCGCAATGCAGAGCACGGACAGGTCAATCACTTATTATAAAATGAAACATAAAAAGAAATTATAAAAACCGACAAGGAAAACAAAGAAATAGGGGAAGGGGATACGAGACCCGGGGAAGGGGGTGTATATTAGTGTTTCAGTTATGTTTCAAGATACTTTCTTTCTTATTTAGCATTGTTGTTTAGTTTACCATTTTCCTCTCAAAGTTTAAATGGAAATGTTCTCTTTTGTAATCAAACACTGCATATTGTCAGTACAAATCTTGATTAATTAAAGAAAAAAAATAAGTTAAAAGAAATATCTGTAAATTTTTTTTCGTTTATTCAGAGTATCTATGAACAAAACGAATGTAATAAAAAAGGCAGTTCTCAGTCGGTGTACGGACTAAAATTATTTATAATTGAAAGACCTAGTTATAGTAGAAATAAAATAATATCTTATCATATTTCTCCGGCTTCACATTTAGTACGTCTATTTTAACTTTGAAAGAATTTATTAATAGAAATTCGTAGACTATGCTCTTTACACCAACATAATGTCGCCTTGCGCTCAACAACCGACCTTTCGCTCTATCTCTTGCCCTTTGGCTCCACTACTTCCGAAAAAATCGATATACAAATTTAAGGAATCCACCAAGAGTAGTTTATTTTGCACGAAAGACTAGCTCTTGTTACGGGTTAACATTTTTGTAAAACACTTTTCCAAAAAATCCTAAGTGTAGAGCATTTTCATGGTTTAAAGTTTGATATTTAACAAATCGTCGTTCACTTCGTCAGGGGAAAAAGTTCTCCCAGGCTTGATATAACTTTGTTTTTGTAACAGCTTAGACCATTGGAAGCCTAAATCAATCCTACACGGAACTACATTTTTCGTTTTTCGAAAAAATACAACTTAAATGAATAACAAGACAAAAACATAAACAACACTTACAATTATCCGTTTAAATCGGCCTTCCGCTCTATCTCGGAAATGCCGTTCGCTCGTTTTACCGTACACCACAATTTTGAAGTTTCAGCGACAGTTTGCCGGGCGTGTATTGGAATATTAGAAAAAATCAATGGATATTTTGAATATTGAAAGACAACGATGAATGTTTTGAATACTAAAAGACAACAATGCATGTTTTGGATATCAGAAGAAACCTATGAAAATCTTGAATATTAGAAGAAAACAATTTATGTTTCTAATAAAAGGGTTTCATGTAATAATCAGTTCCCTGGTTGAAATATGTTTTTTTCTGAAAATATTATTGTTTGCTTCTAACTGTATCAGTCGTAATTAATAAAAATATCAGACCCATTATGTTTGTTATTTCATGTACTCCTAATTCTCTACTATTTCATAATCCAACAGTTGTAAATCTGAGAACAAAATTAAGGTAAACCAGTACTAATTATGAATTTTAAAAGATGTATTTAAACTGCAGCTTACTAATATCTTTTGTTGTGACATAGGTTCTATTCTGGCATGTAAATTTAAGTTACATTCCTACATTTTATGCATTATCTAAATATACAGTAATCATAAACACAACATTGACAATAGTTAAAGTGACATGATGCTCAATATTTTCGTTGTCCAGTTGAGCTTAATTAGTTATATATCTGGAAAGGTTGATAATGGTCATTGATCAAAAATAAATAACGGACAATTGTAAGCTAGGACACTGCCTTACATATAGAAATACTGCCTCCCTCTTTTCATCGTTATAGATTCATTCTGAAGGATATTTTCATAGAATTGTCAAGGAGTAAAGTGGGTTATTGATTATCTATGTGAAATATATGCAATTAAAATAACAAAACAAATTTAAAGTTGTTTTATTTTTTTACCTGTAAAACACTTTAAAGTTTAACTAGAAGATTACTATTCCCCCCCACCCCCCCGTAGATTAGAAAACAACTTTGAACAACATGATTAAAGGTCATTGAATATACTGTAGTTTGTACACGTAACAAGTAATTAAAACATAATAGAACATTTCATGAATGATATCATCAATATAATAATATAACCTGCACTAAAACAAAATTTATATAATTTTATTTAGTCATTGAAAATAAAAACGTTTTCTTAAAAAGAATTCAATTTTTCGAAAGACATAGCCATAAAACAAATTTCATTAAAGGTAGCTAATCGACAATTTACTTTAAATTTGCGTTTTAAGAGGAAAAAAAAAACTGAAAAGAAATTGAAACCTTCCTCTCATCGAAAATCCTTATACCCGCCCCGGGGGTTTGAATACTTTTACTCAGGAATTTTTCGGCTAACACTGGTGGTTTCTACACAGATGAAATGTACTATAAAATGGAGAAAACAGAATTCCTAAAGAAGCCCAAAAGGCAAATGTAATGTTGCAGGCTCGGGTTTGATTTAGCTTGTTCATGCGTATTGGAAAGTTCAAGAACCGTCCACGCCCCACACCGGCTTAAAACAAATTCAACATTTAAACACAAAACTGGTAAATTTGAATTTTAAAACATCCGAAGATGTGTTCATACGGCGTTATCATGGAACCTTAATGTAACAGTAGTGTCATTCCATGAAAACCGGCGCATGGTCCCAAGTAAAAGAATGCATTCCCCCCTAAACGAAAAAACAATGGGCGGAACTAAATAAAATGGAATTTAGAAAGGGGATCTGAGGCTATGGAACCTGCATATTACAGACAAGACGTCAAAAGACAATTTAAAAAGCAGGCAACATATCCTAAGGGTGATTATACAGTATTCAAGTAGGAATACTGGAACCACCCAAGTTCAAAGAGGCCATAAATACATGTATAGTATGTAACGAAAGGAGTATAAGACAGAGGGGCAAATATCCAATGAACAACAAAAAATGTATATCGCTCAATTTAAGCGGGAGGTAAAAAAACGCATCAGATTATTTTGAGAGGCGCTGGACTCTCAGTATAATTTTGTCCAAAGCATTTTTGATATAACCGATCATTTTCGCATGTAAAACATTCTGAGACAAAGATAAAACCGAAATAAAAATATGGATAACGTGTGATCCCTCGTAAGCATTCATCACAACAAAATTACATAAAATTTGCAGTCTCGGTCTACACATGAGGGATTATGAAAAGTGCAAGATTCCTCATGCCCCTAACACCGGCAAAGACTGCGACTGAAGCAAAGAAAAACATGATAGATTTTTGACCATAGGTTTTTGGTACGAGTATGGTTTTTATATTGGATAGCATACCGCTTATGGAAAATTTGCCCCAATGACAATTGTCAGTTATTCCAACAATATATATTAGAAGAAAAAAAAAAAATACATCAATTCAGAAAACATCATATAAAAATAAATTGAACATATATAAAAACATCAAAATATTCTATTTGGTTTTCAAATCTAAGGAGTTAAACCATAGAAATATAAAATATTGAATAAATTCAGATACTAAAGAATTGAATTTCTATGAAAACTGCAGTCTGTGTTAAAACTTAATAACAAGTATGCGCCTAAAGAGATTTTACAAGATTGCATAGTTTATGAGCACGAAATAAAATTTTGTGAAAATATTCATAATCTTAAAATGCTAAATGGAGTTTACATGATTGTCTATGAGGTCCATTACCATAAAAAATAAACCAAAAAACTTACGTTTAAAGTCGAGTTGAATGTTTCTGTCCATTAAAATAGTGGTATATTTATCAGGTCAAAGTAGAGATGTATAACATGTTTTTGATATATTTCGTTAGTTGAAATATTTTGTACCGTTGATGATACCTGAAAAAGGAAATCTAAATGCTACAACACTATCCCTTTGTTGTTCATGCAATTATCTTATACAAAAAGGCCAATTAATATATATCCAAGATGGTTTGAGCCTGATATTTGGATATACTCCAGATTAACATAACAATCGCAAGAAATTGAGGTCAATTTGTGTGTATGAAATACGTTTGAATTAGTTATTTATATAATACTATCAGCATATTTTGACAGTCGCATTTGTCTTTGCTCCGTTTTAGTTTTAAATTAATTTCAAGATGATTATATGATCAGCCCACAAAAAAGTGGGGATTAACCAATAAAGATATAAAAAGATACTATGAAATGAGTGACTTTACCTGTCATGTTTGGAACGTGTTTCTCTTTTATGCTTCCATATTATATATTTCTTTTCCATTTTAAATATTGGGTTATAGATGCAAAACATGTTCTTTTCAATTATGCATAAGCGGCACATACAAGCGGCACATACAAGCGGCACAGGTTAGGGTTGATAACGAAACTTTTAATTTGCATATAGATGACTTGACCGGCGATTGTGGCGATAGTATTCATCTGCATGATGGAGAAATGTTTACGACTAAAGACTAGGATAACGTCACACGTCCAGATGTTAACTGTGCTCAAACATTTAAAAGTGCATGCTGGTTACATAAATGCCAAGGAAAAAATTCAAACGGACTTGTACTTATGTACTTAATGGGCACATTATTTATTTGAAATCGGTTATTGCATAAATTATTAAAACCATGATCATATTTCGGACAAATTTGATTTCAGAATGTATTTTTGTTTTTAAATTTACGCGGGATCATGAATTCGCGACCTAACCGATTCGCAATTAAATAGCCTAAATTGAACGTCACAAATAATTAAGTTTAAAACAAGTAATTAACGTGTGACTATCGTAAATTTCAATTTTCGATACCGCTATTGTTTTGCACTTGGAAAACGTGCAAGTTTACAATATAACCTACATAGAGACACTGAAATTACGCATGCGACCAGTGAAAAGACAAGTGTCATGCACTTTTCAGTATTCAGTTATTTATATTTAATATTTTGAAAATACACCTAAAAATGATGAATTGTTTGGTCCTGATTGAAGAAAAGAAAAGTCCATGTATGATACTAAGCTTTGTAAATGTTATTACATGATGAAGCGAAACTTCAAAGCGGGAGATCTGGAAAATCTCAGGTCAGTGTAAAGATTGCAAAGGGTGAAAAATAGAGAGAGAGAAAAATACATCAATAATGACTACTTGTAGTGTTTCGGTTTGAATCTCCATAGAGCATGCAACGGGGCTAACACATAGATCACTGCGTTTATAAGTGAAAAAGGTTCAATGTACAGTTAAGTGTAAAACGACTCACGTTTTTAACAATTCGCAAGACTCATTTAAGATACCACAGCGGACGTCATATTAAATTCATAACAAGCAAAGACCAAACTTGGTTAAGACTTTAATGATTCAGACTTGAGTTATAACAATTGTATTGTAGCATGTTAATAAATAGTTCAGAAAAGTATTTATTACCGTAACAAAACAAATGAGAAAAGATGAAAATCATGGATATTGTTTGAGGACGTTACCTGCAGTTTTTTAACTACATATACCTATATGCAAAATGAAAACTAATTCATGGAATTTGTTAAAATGATATTAAAATTATGATAAAAAAACATTTTAAACAAACATAATGGGTAACTGGTCTGGTTTTCAGTAACTTGCCATTGAAAAATGTAATTTTTGCTAACGTCAAGGGCAGATAGTTCACAAAAATATTCTCTTTCATCTTTTCATGTTGCTGATTCGCATTTAAGTCATTGTACAAAATCTCAAAAAATGGAAAAAGAGCACATTTTTTATTCATAAACCTTATATACAAATGTACTTTTTTAAAATGAAAAGGGTATCAAAAATGTTTTATGGAATTGAATAACTTTTTGTTTGGTGACCAAGAATAATATCAAAGCAAACATAAACCAAAACATAAAATATTCTTCTGACAAATGCATCAGTAATCCGCCTTTGAAATTACTGTTAAAATAAGCAAGAAATTCAACTTTAATTATTTGTCTTACAACAAAACGATTTGCTAAATGTTGATTGATAAAATACCCAATAAATGATATTATCAATTTACTTTTAAATTAGTTTATCTCCTCTCTAACATAATACACATAAAATAAAAAAAATTCAATCATCAAGTAATTTTAAATGTTGGTTTAGAACATCAACTCAATTTACGATTCTGTCAAGCACGTATGGCATTTTCTTCTTCTTTTGTTAGGAAAGCAATGGTCTTAAACTATAACCTCGTTTAATTTTTCAATAGCAATAAATGATTAATGAAAACAAAAAACACAGAATAGAAACTGTGACATCTGTTGGATTGCTTATAAGTCATGTAAGTAAGTCATACAAATACATACATTCTTAACAGTTAAAGATTTTTAAGCTAGGGTATCAACTCTTTTTGCTGAAGTTTACACGACGATGCCTTTTTCTTTAGTAGCAATTTCTTGTTGTAGCAGCTTTAGTGTCAGTTTCCGCACATTGGGTTCTATATACTTTACACTTTTTCATCCACCATCCAGTTTTGTGACATACGTTTTCATACCTTTTACAATAGCTTACGATTTCTTCTTTCGTGTAGCATCCCCTTTTCTGTATATGTCCTAAAAAATTTGAGCTTTCGTTATTCTTATATATAAAAAATGCATAATTTCTTGCTGAAAGAAACAAAAAAAACCCCTAGGAAATGAATTTCAGAGACAAGAAAATGGACATACTTGACAACTTCTTTTCAAATGAACAAAAATGAAAAATATAAATGTACCTAGTCCTGGTCAAAGCGCGACTTATAACAAATGTGTATCACTGGTTAAAGCACTACGAACTGGAAGAAAATTCAACAAACGAAAAAAGGACTACACAAATAGAATAAAACGAAGCAGAAATGAACGAGGTAGGCTTGAGGATATGTATAGCAGCATGGAGTTTACAACACAAACTATCTTTAGAGTCCTCATAATTATAATGGCGTCAAATGCACCATTTCAATATGCAAATTTCCGACCAGCTTCTCAAGTAATGAACGACGCTTTTCAAATGAATACATCAAAACTCATTTTGGGCATTGCATGACATTCCAAACGTCTACACAGACAAACGATTTACACAAACAAACAAAAATACAACGCTTACGACAAAAACAAATTTAACAAAACAATTGTACCAACAGACTTGATGAATATGTAATATTGCACACATTCACTAATTCATCCAGGTAAAGAAATACACATGGACATTACAACCTAGAGCAACACGCTCAGAACAAAAGCATCTGACATAGGAAAATGCTTCAGGTGTGACATAAGAAACAAGAACGATCTTCTAAATTCACTAAATTTAAAATGTTGTTAGATGTAGGACTAGACGGAAATCTTCTCAGACGATTCAAAATAGTATTTCCGATAAAGATCAAATAAGAGGGCTACCTAATGGACAACAATACAGAAGTAAACGCTGAAGAAAAGAAATTAAAAAATAATTACACCATAAAACTACACTCGCTTCAAATGCGAAAAGAATCAAACGGACTTCTTTAAAAGAGAAATTTTCTTTGGAGTTAAAGGATACTTTATGATACTTGAAGCAAAAAACACTTGTAAAGATATGCCAGTGGCAGTAACTCTTGAGATTCAGAGGATAAAGCAGACCATGGACAAAATGACACTGACCATTGGGAAAATAATACTGACAATTGAGAAAATGATACTGACCATAGTGAAAATGATACTGACCATGGAGAAAATAATACTGAAGAAAATGGAATAGAGACAACTAAATTTATATGCTTACAATATGTAAGGAAATGATTGGTACTTAAAAAAACAAAATTAGAGTATGTTTATAAATAAGTTATTAATAAAAAGAAATCATAATAGTATGACGTATCAATAATAAACATGTTATTCCATATAAAATGACTTATTTACAACTAAAACAGTATATATACTTTATATGCCTATGTAACTATGTATATTGTATAAGCAATACATTTAGCAAGATATGCAGAGAGAAAAAAGGTATTCTAATAAACATTGTTATCACACGATTTATGTTAAACCTTTATAATTATAGTCTTACCGTTGCTAGGTTCTCGATCCATGTCCGTGTCAGTCTTACGACATTCTGTTGGCTCTACTTATCTGGTAAATGTGTGCCCTGGTCTCTTTACGTATAACCTTATCCTACACAATACATTGGTCTTTTGACAACAGCTGTCATAGTTTATTATTTATAAGATTCCAATTTAGATAGCGCAAACTCCAGTATCAAGAGGTAGCCTGCAGAATAACATGCTGATGTCATTTAACGACAGTGGTTTCACCGTCACAAATCTGCACCCGGGTAGTTACTCAGATTTTATTATTCGCTGCCAATAGGCTTAGACAACATGGAAAATAATTTACTTACGTGGCTGAAAGGGATTGTTGGGTTTACTTTTATTTTTCTGGGGACTAATCATTGTTATTCAGAAGCAGATACTTTGGAAAGGGGACGTTTTACATCTACATTCAAAATAGAAAAGGTATCTCATATCCCTCAAACCGATGCAACGGTGATTCTACATCATGAAAAGTCATTGGTATCATGCGTTTATCATTGCCAAAGTCTTCAGCTGGCATCGGCTTACTTTAATGAGGATAACTTTACATGCTATTGTAGTACTGTTGATGACGTCAATATAGATAACTATGAGAATGTGGACGCGGACATATCCCATGGAATAAGAACGGAAATGATGTCAATAACTTACATTCAAGTAAGAATTGTTTTTAAATCGTTTTTACATGATTTTGTTAAATTAACAGCCTTGAGTGGAAGAGCGTCCACTTCGTTTGCTGGAGGTCGTGGGTTCGATCCCTGGCCGTGTCATACAAAAAACGTGGTACCAGTAGTTCCCTTGCATAGCGCTCAGCATTAAAAGGGAGAAACTGGCCTCTTCTCTGGCGATAAATTCTATCAGGAATGAGGTTTCGAGAGTTATTGATATTAGTTAAAAACTTGTTGTACACTCCACCTAATTCAAATTTGTATAAACATATATAATTTTGTATCAATTATTTGCCTTTTTTCTAAATATTTTGAAAAAATGATCCCTCGGAAACAATTAAAAACAGCACGATTAGATGAAAATTGCAGACTCGGTTTGATTGAGTCTGTACATGAGAGATAATGAAAAAGTGCAACATCCCTAAAGCCCCTTAGCACCTGCTATGTTGTCAATTTTATCACGTTTTTAAAGAGAAAGTTTAAAAACTATCATCATTAATTTTATTTTTTCTAAACTTGCTACCTGAAAGAGTTGTAGTTGTAAATTTTATTTGTAACTACGTTTTTAAGAGAATGTTTAAAAAACAATCATCATTTATTATCATTTATTTAAAAATAGAAATAACGTAATAGTCTTTGACACCTGTTTTAAGGACTCAGTCAGTTTGGAAGACAACATGAAGAGGTCAATTTTTCTGACACCTAACAAATCCATATTTTACATACCTTGCTTTATCATTTGTACTGTACATTTTAGATAATTATCACATTGTGTCTTTAATTCAACCATCATCTTAAAGCACAACTTCAGATTCAATCTAATTTTCATGAAAATTTTGAAAACTATTAAAAAGTAAAATATTGTTAAGTGAACAAAGAAAATAATTTACATATTGCAAACGACATTAACAACCAATGCCAATTTAAAAAAATAGAGCAAACATAGCCCTAATTGCGTTAATAACTGGTTTTCTTAAAATAGTTTGGATTATCTGGAGGCATGCAGCTTTAAAGTGCATGGCAAGTTGTTATCGTTTGTTTACAATTGTCACTTAATATCTATATCTAAACAACTTCTCTGTCAATTTTCTTAGACTTATCGTATAAAATGTCTTGGTACAACAAATAGATTCTTTTATTTATGTTAACAAGTAACGATTTCTTAATGGCCTTTGACTAACATTTAGACTTATGTGGCATTTTATTTTGAAAATTAAAAATAATAAAACACACACACACGCGCGCGCGCGCGCGCGCGCGCGCATCCCACGCACGCACGCTCGCTCGCTCGCTCGCACACAAATTGTTATCTGGGGTGGTACAATGGAATTAAATTGAACTAGTATGATTTCATTTCGCCGCTATGCATATTGAAAGGTACATTATCTACGAATGGAGGGTCTTTCAAATTTTTTTTTAACTCGACAACATCTTCATGTTTAAAGATAGAGTTCTGCTAGGTGCCGTGGATTCAATTTGCCAACAGGCTGAAACAAATCAATCCTATAACACTATTGCCGTTTTGAGATGTTTTTTAACTTTTATTTTTTATCTATTTCAAATTGTATAAAGCGACGAAATGGGTGTACTATAAATGACGATATGGGCGTAGTAAAAGTGACGATAACATGGATAAAGGCGTAGTATAAATGACGATGTGGGTGTAGTATAAGTGACGATATGAGCGTAGTATGAATGACAATATTGGCGTTGTATATGTTTAAGTTCTCTTTTTTATCTATTTAATT